ATGAAGAGAACACTTCATAAAAACCTAGATGGTTATAATGTCCTTGGCTTCCTCAAACTGTGGTTTTTGCATCTGTACAATGGGGATAGGAGCAGGATTGCATGAGGTGGTAGATATAAAACACCTCACAGTGCCTGGCATGCTTGTAAGCATTCACTAAATGGTTGCTGTCATCTGTATGTACAGTAAACACAGCAACTTGTTTCCCAGGAAGGAGCAAATAGATCTGTCCTACATATAGATGCATATGTTGTTAACCATCCACTCAGCTACAGAAGTTGCAGTTTGGCTGATCTAAAATCCTTTCTGGCTTGAAGGTTTTCATACTTCAAAGTGTTAAATCATCCTTGGTTAGCAAAATGTGTATTTGTGAAAGCCACCTTCCTTTGAATGGCTCCAGAGTTACTAAGTGTAAGTTTTCTGTTTGCCAGAAAACATTATAGCAACTATGAGAAGTATGAAGTTAGGTTAGTAATTCAGGAATTGGGATAATTGGATGAGTGGGCTTCATAGTACTTTCTGCTTGCAACTGGGGTGGAGCAGGTAAGGATGGGAAGAAACAAGAATCACATAGTGATCATTACTGACATTCACAGGTACCCAGGAAAGCCATGTTTTCTTTCCAGTAGTACTGGCTGTGGTATGGATTGGGAGATATTTCCATGATATTCGGAGTTTGTTGGGAACTTGTACCATCTGTCAGAGAAGGGCATGCAGGGTGTTTATTTGAACACATGAGACTGCAGCCACTGCCAAATCAAGGACTGAATGCTCTTTGACTGCACACCTAAATGAATACTGTCAAGTGCAGATTCCAGTACTTTCACTTCATGAAGTTTCAGTAGTAAGAATGTAACATTTATTTTGATAACATTGAAAACAATCACTTTGTCCTCAGACAGGATAGCTCTTAAATTTTTTTTTCTCTCCTCCTTTTTACATTATCTTTAGAAGCAGTATATCCTGACTTTTCTAGCAGAGAAATTGTTTAGCCTAAAAATTCTTGTATAAGAAGCGGGTAACTATCCTTGACTCCTTAACGGTCTGACTGTTTTGTAGTTCCCTTGCTGTGTTGGAAAGCTTGTCTGTCAAGTTTCTCCTTTTCATGTTACATGTAAAGCAATACTAGACCCTCAACTCTGTGACTTCTCTAAGAGCTTGCAGTCATTTTGTGAGTTATGATTTTAAAAATAGCCATCAGTCTTCATGACATATCCCTGAAACAGGTGAAGAGATTTTTTTTTTTTATTGCATTTTAGGTTTTGGGGTACATGTGATGAACATGCAAGATTGTTGCATAGGTACACACTTGGCAGTGTGGTTTGCTGCCTTCCGTCCCCTCACCTGTATCTGTCATTTCTCCCCATGCTATCTCTTCCCACCTACCCACCCCCCGCCCCTCCCCCATTTCCCCCCAACGGACCCCAGTGTGTAGTGCTCCCCTCCCTGTGTCCATGTGTTCTCATTGTTCAACACCCACCTATGAGTGAGAATATACGGTGTTTGATTTTCTGCTCTTGTGTCAGTTTGCTGAGAATGATGGTTTTAATGAAAATAAATACCAAGATCCACGTATGATATTCTCATCAACCATAGCACATTTTCAACAGTAATGAAGCTTCTGTTGATCATCATGACAGGTATTCTGTGGGGGCAGTGAGAAGGCTTCATTGCAGCTCATTTTACTTTTGGTATTTTGGTTCCTTGGCACATAAAGCTTATTAAGTATTTGATGGTCCCTTTGAGTCCTCACGCCTGTATTACCCCATCCACCAGAGCAAGCCTGTCTTGCTCTCTTCTTATAGGACAGGAAGCTGAAGTGAGAGGTTGAAAAGTAACCGATGAAGCAGCCAGCACTGTGGCTGAGCTCCTCAAGGTTTGCTTAACCATGGAGCCACATTCCTTCACCTCTACCTGAACACAAGACAGAAAAGGAAAATTCGGTTATCAAAAATGTGTGAGAGGAGGAGGAGGAGGAGGATGCTTTAAGTTTTGAATTGCTCAGCTCAGTGCCATGATTTCCTCTGGCAGTCCTTGGAAGGCAATATTTTCCTCACCAAGGGAATATTGTATTTTATTGTGCTGTAAGGATCTCTACAAAACGTACATTGCCATGTGAGTACCAGAGAATGGTAGCTTCCCAGAGGCCATCACTGAGAGTATTTAAAAACTGCCCAAGAGTGGTTGCATTAGACAGGAGTGGGAACAGAGAGTGACTGCTAATGGGTATGAGGGATCTTCCTGGATTGGTGGAAATGTTCTGAAATTGGATTATGATGATTATCGCACAACTCTGTAAATATACTAAAATCATTGACCTGTATCGTTAAAATGAGTGAATTTTATGGTTTATAAGTTATACTTCAATAAAACCGATTTTATTTTTATTTATTTATTTTTTTTTTTGAGACACAGTCTCACTCTGTTGCCAGGCTGGAGTGCAGTGGCACTATCTCGGCTCACTACAACCTCCACCTCCTGGGTTCAAGCAATTCTCATGTCTCAGCCTCCAGAGTAGCTGGGACTACAGGCATGCACCACCACACCTGGCTAATTTTTGTATTTTTTAGGAGAAATGGGGTTTCACCATCTTGGACAGGCTGGTCTTGAACTCCTAACTTCATGATCTGCCAGGCTTGGCCTCCCAAAGTGCTAAGATTACAACAAGCCTGAGCCACCATGCCCAGTCAATAAAGCTGATTTTAAAATGCCTGAAATTTGGCATGTCTTGAGAGGAGCCACATTTCTGCTTGGCATCTGGGAACCATAGCACTCCATAGTGCAGTGTCAATTCTGAAAGCTCCCACACCTGTGTGGAAATGCACAGGGAAGACCGAGAAGGAGGAGTTGGAGGAAATGGGGATGCAGTGAGTCTGCTGCGGGAGGATGCTTATCATGACGATGTGAACAAAATGACACCATTTTTGTGATGACGACAAGTCAAAGTCGGCTCCAAAAAATCAAGGGCATTCCTCTCCAGGGTTTGATGGCGCACTCACTGAACTGCCCAACTCTTTCATTAGATTGACAATGATAACACTTTCCAGCCAGAAATCTTACCTTAGCATCTTATCCACCCATATAGACTGCCTATTAAATGATTTGATCAAATGTACTATGCAGATTTTGGTAAATACAATTTAAAAAATCTTTCTATATAAAATCAATATGACAGTGTAGCTTAATTTTTTTTTTTTGCTTAGTTGCCATATTTAATGAGGTTAATAGAAAATGTTTAATGTGACAGGTTTAAAAAAATTTTCCGACCTCTTAATTTGTGTGTGCTTTCTTGAAAACAACCAAACATTTGGTGTTTGATTTATTGAAGCAATTGGTTGGCTCTGCTAACTTATATTGTTGAGACTTGAGATAAAACTTCAGGACTCCCTCAGTAACTGGAGCACAGGAAACAATTGACACTGTTTCTTAATTCACATTGTTTCTGAGACATTTCCTACTTCCTAGTATAATATAGCTTTCCCATGAGAACGATTTGCTTGCAAATGGTTAGACATGATACATTTCTCACTGGCACACATTCTGTGGGGGGAATTTCACTGTGTTTTGTAGCAGCTGAGTTGCTGCGTGTGTGTTAGGAAGGAGGTCCTGCTTTATGTAGATGCCTCCAGCTTCATTCATGCAGCTAATGTCTTCTTTTGAATACTAACCCATTCACTTAGGTTCTGCATTGCTTAGCTGGAATCTCTTTCCTGAAGGAGCATATAATTCTTTTAAGCCTGCCAATTTAAGGAAGCACCCTTGTGAATTACTGTGTTTTTTAGATATAACCCATAGGTTACTATGGAAAGTAGTTCATGACAGTTCGTATCATACATACTGTATGTACGTGTATTTGTGTGTAGGTATCTCATATTGGCTGTGGTATTGCTAAGTTGTCATCAAGTAGTAATTCCAGAAATGGGAAACAAAATTCATAAATAAGAAAATTTAATCTAATTTGCAGTTCAGAAAAAAGGATTCACAATTATTTCTGAAATGGTAGTTCCTAAGTTCAGAAGTTATGCTGTATTTAAAGTGAAAGTAAAAGTTTTCCAATTTAAAAAAAATGATGTGGAACTTTGAGTTTCTTTCTTTTTTTTTTTTGTCTTATTAGATTTTGTAAAAATAATACCACTTGTCAGTTTTGCAGCTCCTTCCATCTAGAGAGCTGAAAGCATTTCACAATCTTTTTTCCTCCTGCCCTTCTCTTCAAGGCAATTTTTGCTGGGCTCGGTTTATTTTTATCGTTGCAACAACCAGTTTTTAGAAACTTTTGGAAACGAAAAAAGAAAAATGAGAATGGCACTGTAGCTGACATTCATTTTAGCTCTTTCCTAGTGTGAACGTTTGAGTATTTCTAAAATCTTTTCTCCAAGTATGTCTTATTTTTCTCAGTTTGTCCCAGTTCTAAGTCTCTATTTTGCTGATTAGGTTAAAATAAAAGTTTTAATGTAAAGCCTTACCCCCAACAAAATGACTTTTTGAACTTTGAGTTAAATCTTTATTTTTGTAGCTCCAACAGCTCCTTTTCCAGCAGGCACTAACCCTAGCCAGTATAATCATAGATTCATGTATGGTTGGAACTGGAGGGGCCTCTAGAGATTATCCAATTTAAGTCTTCCCTTCTAGAAAGGATGAAGTTGATGCCCAGACTGGTTAAGAGAGACATGCTTAAGGTCAGGTAGCTAATTGATGGCAGAGGTATGACCAACATGATTCCTGATTTCCAGTTTGATATTCTTTGTTTTTCCAAAACAAAAGTAGTAGATCTGGACAGAATTAGAACACACCCTCACAGAACCCTAGTGTCAATCACCAGCTTGAATTATACTGAAGCTAACTGAAAATTGGGAGGGAATTTTATTTTTCTAGTTAGACTTTGTCAAATATAGAATGGTAATGTTGAATTTATAGGCATTTTCTTCTGATTTGTGCATCTTGTGCTATCTGCAGTAGAGAATGTGGTTTGAACTGACTGCTGATTTATGTATCTTTCTTAGGCCACCATACCATTTACATCGGAGTCCATGTGCCGAAGAGTTACAGGAGAAGGAGACGTCACAAGAGAAAGACAGGGCACAAAGAAAAGAAGGAAAAGGAGAGAATCTCTGAGAACTACTCTGACAAATCAGATATTGAAAATGCTGATGAATCCAGCAGCAGCATCCTAAAACCTCTCAGTGAGTACTTTCTGGGCGTTGGTGACTCTCTCTGCCTCACTCCCACATCTTTGAGAAGGATGCCTTTTTGAATCTTGTGGCTAAAAGGGAGGGACGCTATAATACTGAGATGGTCTGCTCTAAAGGATAATGACTGTGGAGATGCTTTGCTTGTACTGGCAGGTTGACTTAGAAGGTCATGTAGTTGATCAGAAAGGGTCTGACCAAGTTTAGGCATCGCTGTGTATTCTACATGTTTATGTGTAATAGGGCAGTGTTGCAGATGGTATTTACAGCAATGAACAGTAACTGGAAGACTCTTAAAGAATTTTTGCATTGTTATGCTTAGAAATAGGTTCTATTGAGACAGTAGGTCAAGATGAGAGTATGTGTCTATAGATTTACATATCTTTCCAAATGTCAGCATTATAGGTGACATTTTACCAGGTTGTGAGCCAGGTCAGTGTTTTAAATAGGAATTGTTGAAAATCATCCTGTAAGGCAGAGAGGATTGGAGAGTGACACAGTTATTGAATGTATTAGATGTCATACCTTGGATAAAAGTGTTACTAAGAGCAGAATGGCAGGAGGTCAAAGAACACCCTTGGCTTCCAGTGATAGAGTGGGCTGTGTGTTTAGGTGTATGTTTATGCTGCTTTTTGTTTCTTTAATGTGGAGAATATTTGGCTACATGGGCCAAATATTGTGGCTGAACTGAGAACGAATATGTGCAGTAGAAACACATGCCAATTTTGGGAGATTCCCCAACAGGAGTTACGCAGTGACAGCTTTTCATGTTGGCAGAGCTCTGTACATTCTTCATGTCTTTGCTACAGTTGCAGAAATATGGACCCTGCAATGAAATGCATTATGGGTAGCACAGATAACGATCGAGCTCAGTCATTGCAGGTGATGACAGGCCAAATTAGAATGAACAGCTCAAGGGTGTTGAAAAGTGAATTTACAGAGTTAAATTAAAGAGGGTGTGAGGCATAGTGATGTGAATTTTTATAGTCTCACTATTGGAACTGAGCAAGTGGCTTAGGAAGTTAGTGAAGTGTGGTGCTGAGAGGAGCAATACAGTGGACCATCGCATTAAAGACAAACGCTTGGAGGAGAGCTTGAGATGGATCATGAAATCTAAATTAAAAGGCATTGAAATAAATTTAAGACTTAGAAGGACCATAAGTCAGGAGCCTCATGTTATATACTTTTCACTGAAATACTGGGGAAAAGTCTATCTGAAAGGAAATTCCTTTATATATTGATTAAGTTAGTGGAGTCTGTTTCGACAAAAGGCCTTAAAACGCATATAAATAGGCACAGTTAATAGGCTGGAGGAACGAAAGGTACCATTCTTTTCCAGATAAATGACTACCACTTATCTGGATTTACTATGTATCCCTTTTGGCAAGGTCTGAGCCAGTGTCAGGTGTTCTCTCTATTGTGTGTGTGATTGTGCGCCGTTTCTTTCTCTCTCTCTCTCTCTCTCTCTCTCTCTCTCTGTGGCTTTTATAACTTGTCTTTCATTCTTCAGTTTAAGAACAAGAGTGCATCATCACTATAAATGTTACAAAGTGAAGAGGTGCTCACTTAGACAGATGGGCCAGGAATTTTGAGATTAAAATTACATATCTGCTTTTGAGGAAGGGCAGTGGAAACAGTGCCACTAGCACTCAGATACGTTATAAGGAATGAACAGATCAGGAAGATGCTCTACAGAATACTGTTGTATTCTGTGGCATTTGGGGGCCAGTTTGAATTCAGCATGTGAAACAAGGCAATCCATTCTCTTTCCCCTCAGAGGTTTCTTCCTGGGGGAATACTTATCATGTTGTATACTGGCTTTCTGAAGGGATCCTATGGAGAGACAGTTGTTAAGGACAAAATTGTTCAGTGGTCATATGCAAATTATTTATAAATTTGCATTTTATAGTTTTGTTCCTGCTGATCAATAAGTTATATATACACTAATTTGCCTTTGGCATATTTGATATCAGTTATCCAATTTGACATGATGATACTCTTAGAAATTACTGTGTATCCTTGGCTGCTTTGATGGATTGGTAGTTAATTATCTGGTACAGTTCTGTTTAAAAGTCAGAGTTTTTGCACCTAGATATGGAAAAACATTTAACCTCATGATTTTGGGGGAAGCCACAGGGCTCTGGCACCAACATAACAGAATTCTTGTGGGAAAATGGACTTGATGAAATACTTGCCTAGTATTCCAATATTGTCTCTCTAGAACTGCCACTTACAGTTTCCGTTGTTCTGTGACCTGTGGTGTTTGAGTTGCTTATGTCCATAGACATATGTCCTGAGACAAGATTCTCACATGTGCCTGGCAGTGTATCGTGATACTTACACTTCTGAGAAAAACAAAAACCAAATAACCCTCATAGAAATAGTAAGCTGATGGGAATCATCTTTGATTCTTTACTTGCTCTCACTCCCATGTGTAATCCTTCGGTGCTTTCTGTTGGTTCAACATTTAAAATGGACCTGAATCTGTCTGTTCCATTTCAGTTTTGCTGTTACATTTCTGTCCAGGGAATCATCACCTCTTGCATAGACACTGCAGCAGTTTCTGCTTTCCAAGTCTTTCTTCATAGAGAGGGACAATAGATCATCACAAAGTGTAAATTGGATCATGTTCTTCCTCTGCTGAAAACTTCTGGTTGTCCTCAGAGTAAAACTTCAGTTGGGCATCATGGTCCATTGTCTTTCTAGTCCTGTGATGTGCCCTTCACTCCTTGCTCACTTTACTCCAGGTACATTATGTCGATCCTTGGTGCTAAAACATTTTCTGCCTCAGGGCCTTTGCTCAGGCAAGTTTGTCTTCCTGAAATGGTCAGCCCATTCTTGTCCTGGTTAGTTTTTCTGTTCCTTTATGTCCTGGCTTTTAAATTTTACCTCTTCGGAGAGTACTTTCCTTACTACTCTCTCTAAGGCAGATTCCCCTTCATTATTCTCTCTCAAAACCTTATTTGTTTCCTTCATAATATATGTTTTCACTTGTGATTTTTGAGAGCCTACAGTTTTGTCTTGAGCTGATGTTCAATTTTAAGCTCCATGAGAGCAAAGATCAGTTGTCTATTTACTTTGTTTTCTTTGGTGCCTAGCACAATGCCTGGCACATAGTATGTGCTTGATATATGTTTATTGAGGAGTAACTGAATGAATGGATCACTACAGAGAAAGATGTAAGCATTGCTTTTCTTGGCCTAAATATTTCTTACATCCTAGATAGAGATCCAGCTGATTTTCTTGTTTTTAAGCCTTGCATATAGTATTTATATTTTCCTGCCCTGTCATTCTCCCTTGACACATAAAATCTAGTCCTCACTTTTAATTATCCCACTTTGGAAAGTGCCTCGTTATTTCGCCTATTGCCAAAGTGGGATTTTGTCTGGGTAGGTAACTCCCAAGTGTGTGGAGCTGCTTATTAACCACAGGTGATGGATGAAACTGAACTGCAAAGCACATGAATTTTTCATGTACACTTAAAAATGCTCACCATTTCACAGAGAACTCGGGCAGCACTCCCCTTCAGAAGCCACATTAAGGTGGCATGAGCTGGCACCATGGCACATACCTATAGTCCCAGCTACTCCAGAGCCTGAGGTGGGAGGATCTTTAGGAGTTCGAAGCTATAGTGCTCTATGATTGCCCCCGTGAATAGCTGCTATGCTTTATCTGTGGCAACGTAGAGAGACCCTGTTTCTGCAAAAACGTGAAAGGGCATTTATAAGAAGTAAATGAAATATCCTCCAGTATTTAGGCATATTAAGAAGATGGTATAATTAACAGGTTCATTTAGTTTATAACCTAGTGCTTTCTATTTTCTTCATGGCTTTCATGTCAAGATCGGGTTTCTAAAAAATAAATGAGTGTTTGGTTTTTACACATTCGGAGCTCTGAGGAGGAAGCTATCTAGCTTCGTATCCCCCTCTGAGCTCAGCAGCAGCTCCAAGTCCTTTCACAGCTGCTATTCCCAGTGTGGTGTCAGAACTGGTGTCCCAGCTGGGGACACAGAGAAGGAAACGTGTGTGAGAGTGTGGAGCACCGAGCCATGGGGAGAGAGAGGCTGGGGAAGGAAAGCGAAATGGAAGAACAGGCAGGAGAGACAAGGGAATGAGGAGGTGGTGTGGAGTGGGTGGTTGAGAGAAAAGTTAGATTGTGCTCTTTCTTAAAAATAATCCTTTTGCCTCCTCCACTGTGCATTTTTTTTTTTTCTAAGTTAGCAGCTGCCATCCTCTGAGGGTTGCCCAAAAAGTGAGTGGAAAGGTGGTCCTGGCTGAGATAGGCTTTGGAAACACAGTATTCCTTCTCAGCCTAGATGGTTTTGGCCTCTGTACCTCCCATTTTGCCAGTGTCCAGGGATACTTATGGGGGCATCACAGGCTGCTTTGTGACTGCAGAGATTCTGAAGATGTGTAAGATGTTAGGAGACACAGCTACAAACAGAACATCTTGTTCAGCATTTGGATCTGATGTGTAAGATATTTCTCGACAAGCGTGAACATGCATTCATGCTTGGAGGTGCTAACTGCCTCTCACACGTAGGTCTTGCCCGTTGTGGAGTCATAGTGATAGGTATGTCCATACAGACACTCATTCAGTCTTGTGGTATTCTTTTTTAGCCTTTTGGATGTGTACCAGAACTGACGGATTTATGCTAGTGAACATTGTTCTGTGAGCCTGGGACAGTGGATGCTGGTTGGTGATCCAGTTATATTCAGGAAACTGAAACAGAGAAATGGGCCGCTGCTTTTGTTTGGTGCTTCCGGGTAAATGAACAGAGTAGCTTTTCATTAGAGCCAAGAATATTCGGTGTTGTGTCATTTGACTTCCCCTTTTCCCAGTGCACACCCCTGTCCCCTCCTCCAAACTGACCTCACACTTCTGGGTACATTTGTACTTTTTCTTGATTTTTAAAACGTTTTCAGGCAAGACCCTTAATTTTGATACCATAAAGTAAGGTTTCTTTAATTTTCTGCATGCCATCGGCATATCTC